TGGTAGGTAAGTTGAAACATGTCACTAAATAAAATGTTTTTTCATTGCATTAATTTGTCTGGTTGATAAGGTTGTTGTCCCACGAGTGTAAAGTATGTTGGCTTCAGCTCGAAATCGTTCCTCTAGAAAGTAGGAGGACGTATAGCAGATATGTTGGCTCAGTACTAATCTGAACGGTTGTAGTCAGCCAACATTCTGGGTCGAGCTGCCTCAATAATTTCAGTAGCTGCAGCCTCAACAATGGCTGCAGCATTCTCAGAACTAGCAGCTGTTTCTTTATCAGGGATTACATCCCCTGATTGTCAATCTTCTAACCTGATTCATTACACAGATGACTCTGAAGGTCATGCATGTTCCCATTCTCGTCTTGAATCAACACAAGAGTCACAACCATTGTTCTCGTTTACAGGTTGGTGTTGATTGATGCTTCAGTAGTATCGATCGTTGCTTGCTCACAAGAGGTGTCAATCGATGAAGAAGAGGTCTCGATCAATGTTTCTCATTTTTCTTTTGTGGATGGTACGTTTAAGTTGTGTAGGGTCTGGGAGTTCCAATAGATAGAAAAAAAATTTCTCCTGGTACTGCTATGCATGAACCTGAAAGACACAACACAATTTGATAAGGTACTAACGAAAAAAAACTAGACACAATATTTCCACCAAGTGTAATGGTGAATCAAATACCCCCGGAAACGATGCCAAATTTGATATGCTCACATGACCATAGAGGAATTCTATCAACTAAGAGATCGATTGCAATAATTAGGATGAATTCTACATGGAGCATGGATCACACCGTAGACTATAAATATTAAGATTAAGCTAGGCAGATAATATGAGAAAAGCGCTAGACTTAGGGTTTCAAAAAGGTTATAAAACTTCAAACTTATAGATGCTAAGGGTTTAGTGAGAACCGTCCTAGAACTTGAAGTCAATTAGTAAGATATCTAGCTCTTGCTGTGAGTCTAATCAGATATCTAGATCTTAGAATTCCAACACTCGTATGCGAATTCAGTTGCTCTAGACAAGCATATGATCCAATTTTATTTGTTCACTAAGTTATATAAACCAACTCTCGTATGTATTTATCAACCTAGCTCAGCAAGATTAGATTCATGTGATTGGCCATGCTCCCGCATGTCCAAATTGATCCTATAATTTAGCTATTCTAGAAACAAGCAATAAGAAATATCTTGTAAATGATCTAATATGATAACCCTAGCAGTTCTATAATTTATAAGCTTATGAAAACCCTAGAACCTTAAATTTAACAAGTAGACTACACATACATAATTAACAAAGACATAAAGATAAACTGAATGAATTGCATTAAAAAGTAGAGATAAAAATACTGTTGTTCCAATCATATCTCTGAAGGAGTCTTCTGGTCTTCTCCCCAAAAAATCGAAGAATAACAAAAAGCTTCTATGAAAGTATATGCTTAAACGGTGGCTGCAAAAAATATAAATATAAGTCTAAAAGTCGGCCAGGGGTAAATCTTGTAATATGTAGAAACTTATGGGCCAAGCCTGAATCCGGAAATAGAGCCGGCTTGTGTACTCGTGTAGGTGTCAAGCGACACTCATGAGAGTGTCGATTGACAGTCCTTCAAAATCTCGACTGAATTATGTTTTCTTGCATAGCTGCAGGTTTCTTCATTTTTAAGCTCCAAATTGCGTCATGATCTCCACATTACTCCAAAACATACTTAGACCCGAAAAGACTCCAAAACATACTTAGGCCCAAAAAGACTCTAAAATAGACCCAAAACATAATATAAATACTCTAAATAGAACTTCTACTATGGCTATAATCAGTAAAAAAAACATTGTTAATCATTTATGTTTCTTGAAGATTTACAAGCAGGTGTGCAGGTCCTTGGCGCAAATATATCTATCTTAATTTATCACAGAAATATGTTTACTTACACTGTGCTAGCTTTTACTAAATGCAGTATTGAGGTTCTTTACTTTTTCCAGCTTCTAGTGAACCACGGGAGAGAGAGGCAGAGGAAAATGTATTGATACATTTGAAACGGTTCAAGAAGTTACTCCAGAACAGTTGAAGGAGCCTCCAACAAAAGATCAGCTTGCTTCTCATGTTCTATGGACATAATCTTATAAACTCTCTGGTCATGGTAATAAACTTTTTTCTCTCTGCTGTGACCACAAGGGAAGCCTTTGTTGCTTCACTTGTAAAGTAGTATTAAAGTATATCTGTTATTTTCTTCCATGATCATCTCTTATCATCCAATGACGAGGTTGGTCACAAACTCATGTCAAAGGTTGAAGGACACAAAGAGAATCACTTGGGTATATTCATAGAACCCATTTGGCCACCAATTTGAAAATTCATCAAGAGATAAGACTATGAAGATCTGGTCCATCGATAAAGACGCTTGCGTCAAATAGGTTCTTGCCTTGCCTCAGTTTAGGGGCAGTGTCACAACCGTAGCTTGGACGGGACTAGACCACAAGAAGAAGAGCAGATGCATAGCGTTTGGGATGAAGAGTGGACTTATGGAGCAAAGAAACAAAGGAAGCTACAACAGTAACAACATGTCTTACTCTGAGTCTCGAACTGTTGATGTGTCATGTCTCTGACATAAATCGTTTAGCATGGAGACCAACCGAAAATCAAAACAGTAACCAAAAACTCTCTTTCCCTATATTGTACTGGTTAGGCATGAGCATTTTACCCGATATCTGAAATCGAACACGAACCGGATCCGGAAAATCCGAACCCAGACCCGATCCAATCTATAAAAATATCCAAACATGTATTTAATTAGAGGAGATTGGATACCCGATCAGGTAATATCCGATACCCAAAATATCTGAAATATATATATATCAACCATAAATTTCTAATACTTTAGACTCGTTCATTTCCTCTTCATAGTTCACGCTAAACTAAACCCCTTCTCCCCGGTTGACTTAATGTTTTTTTTTTTAATTTCTCTACATCTTTCAATTTCGCTAGAGAATACATTCTTTTCTAAGGTTTGCTTTGGTGATGTATTGCTCCATCTTTGAGTACTTTGGCCAACTTCAAGGGACACCAAAACACTAAATTTGGTGTAGTTTCATCTCCAATGAAACACTACAAATTACATCACCCCACCAAATTGGTGTAATATTAATTCATTTCACCAAATATTTAATTTTTATTATGTTTCATTTAAAAATATATTTTAATTATCATTATTAATTAGTTTCAATTTGTAACAAGACATAAATATATTGTATTAGTTGTATTTTTAAATTATTTCTATGTGTAAAATAATAATTTTTTTTTGAAGTAAGAAATCACTAAATGAATATTATCATTAACTTTATATTTTTAAAAATAAAATATCATACAACTTTTAATCAATAATGAAAATTTAATAATATTATATTATTATCAAATTATATTTAATAGTAAATAATCAAAAATCTATACAATATTTTTAAATTGACGAAACACTAGAATAACATTTTTATTTTATTTTATAATATAACTGACTTGTATTACTAACTAATACAAATTTTATTAAAATAAATATATTATTTGTTTTGTGTTTTTCATAATTTATATTTTGTAATTTTAAATATGATTAATATTGTATATAAAATAAATACATAAAATTCTAATATTGCTCGAAAAATATAACTGTAAATAAATTTTATAAACTAAAAATTAGAAAAAAAAATTAAAAATATAATTTCTAAGTGTGATAAAACAATTATGTACCAATTACAATAATAAAAATAAAAAAATCTTAAATAATATATAATATTATTTTTTATGTAATATTTTGTATCACGGTTAGAGATGACAAAAACATTTTGACAACAAAACACCAAATTTGATGTAAATACACCAAATTTGGTGTCAAAGTTGGAAATACTATTAATGTCCCGCTCTTTGGTTAACAACATATTTTTTATGTTGTTTGGTTAATATTATTATTTTATTATCTTACAATATACACATTATTATTAGATTCTTCTTTTATTCATGATATATGTTCTTCATCATCTTGTTTCTTAAAAGTTACTTTAAATAACCGAACCGAATTCGATCCGAGTTACCGAAACCAAAATTACAAATACCTAAACCTTACCCAAAAGTATAAAAACACTCGAACACATTCTATATCTTTATACTGAAATACCTGAAAACTCAAACGGATATCCAAACACCTACCCGTAGTACTGGTTGTGCAAATTTTGGTAACTAAGTTGAAACATGTCATTAAATCAAAATGTTTTCATTGCATTAGGTTGTCTGGTTGATAAAAAAAAAGAATAAGCTTTTTAAAGTTGTCTCGAGCACTGGACAGTTGTCTGTTGACACAACAAAGGAACAACCTTGTCTGACTCAAGCCCCTCAAGGTGTTCACACGCTTCTGTGCAACACCATTGCATATTCTCTTGTCCACACCCATTACCTTTGGATATGTAAGTTTTCCGGCAGTTATCCTAAGCTCTTCCAACACGTCTTCGTTTTGCTCATCTCGCTCGGTTGATGTCTCATGGTCATCTTCCTATTTTCATATCTCTAGGCCCTCCATTGGAGGTTAGGACATGGGAGCAATTACAATCTCACAGCTTGAGAGTGACAAGTTCTCTTATGGAAACGACTTTGAAGATCTGGTCCACCGAGAATGGATCAAATCAAACAGGTTATTTCCATGCAAGAAGCGCCATCACCACCGTGGCTTGGAGTGGACTAGACCACAAGGAGAAGAGTGGTAATTGGGATGGAAAAATAGCTGGACAGACAGCTTTGGAACATAAAGATTAGAGAAACAATGGAAGCTGCAAGGGCAACAGCAATTATTGCCTGTTAAACGGTTAGCAATCGAGACCAACCGAAAAGCCATGATACTAACAAGGGGCTCGTGGAGATAATATTTGTGTCGGGAGTTATTTTTTACTTGAACTTCTGAGTGAAAAAACTGAAAACACCTCGTCACCAATAGTTTCGTTCTCTATAGCATCATTGTACTATTTACGCAAATCGTAAATCTCATTATTTCTTGTGTTTCTAAACAGTTTGTACTCGGTATTAACCCAAAAACATCCTCTACGAATAAAACATGAGTCATCCCTCCTCGTTTTTTTCCATCTCAAAGATACAAATGCATCCCAAAGAAGAGTACAATTTTCACATGTAATATTGTCAATAAAAACTAAAGAGAAGAAAACATAACTAATCATCTCTAGGGCCTACAATATATATTTTACTCATATTTTCGTATACCTCCATGTCTCTGAGATTGAGGAGGTAAAGAAGAAGAAAGCTCCTAATCCGTGAGGTTCCACATAATCCCCATAACCAATCCAAGTGACCCACTTGCCACTTGCCACTTGCCACCTACAACTAAAGAGATACATAAACTTAGAAAATAGAGTCACATCTAAACATGTCCATATTATGTATATACCTCAAGAATAAAAAGATGCTCATTTTGTCTCCAAACTGTGATTCTGCAGAGGATTCCCTGATGTGTTTCTAGTCTTCTTATACCAAAAGAACATGGACCAAAGTGCTCTAACCAATACTCCATTGGCAAAATGCGGAACAAACAAGCGCCCCAAATAGGGATAGTAAGGTCCAGGAAGCTTAATCAGAGTGAAGAACAACATCATAGCTATCAAATGCCACGGTACTTCCGCTTCCTGCAAAAAACAAGAACTTATTCTAAAGACCAAAAGGATTTTGAAACTTTCACAACAAGTCAATACGCAACTTAAATGCACAGACCTTAAGACGAGGAGAGATGTTCAAAGCGGTTCCTTGTAGAATACCTCCAACAACAATACCGATGACTAATGGGAATGGGACTAAAGCAAGTCTCCTCTCATGTGCACAATAAGACATCTCGCTAACAGAAGAAACCGCCAACACGGGAACAAACAAGAACTTAACGACTGATATGGCGAGATCAAGAACCAGCTGTATGAAGTTCTCAAACGCTCTGTTCCAAGGGAACTCCTTGACCGGTTGTGGAGAATCATTCCAAACATCTTTTGCTTTTCTCAAAAGGGTATCGAAAGTAAGCCTCCTTGAATCCCCTGAATGATCAGATTCCATGTGAATCGAGCGGCACAGAAATCTCTTTGATGCTTTAGCTTCACTCGCACCCTTGAGATTTTTATTGTTGTTAGAGTACAACTGCAAACACAACACAGGAAAGCAACAAACTATGAATGTAAAACCTCAGAAAAACCATTCACATATTCCTCAGAGGCTATATACCTAAAGAAAGATTCGTCATACACATGTTTAATAGACACAACAAGAAATTCTAACATCTAAATCACTCTTTCTTTGTCATGAAATTGATCAAGTTTAATCTAAGAAACGATATATCTGTCTACAAATATCACTTAGACAATGAAAAGGAGGAACTAAAGATTCGATAGAAAAGAAGAGAGGTTTTCGTTACCTGGGTTGGTGAGTGGAGTCGCGGAGCCAATGAAGGCCGAGGAGAAGAAAGAAAGAGATGAGACATGGCCATTTTATCTTAAAGCCTGTTGCTTTTGATTTGTGTCTAATCACAGAGAGAGACAATTGAAGGAAGGAGAGATTCTCTGAATAGAGAGGATAAGAACCGAACCTATTATTCAACCCTAGTCAGTGGAGGAACCTGGATCACCTGCGACAATGACCAGCGTAAGATCACGTGAGCCACACATGCCAGCTACGTTGACAACCCAATTGAAACATGACAACCTTCTACCGAGTTGAACCAAAAAAAGTTTTTGTAATCTTTTATATATTAACTAGATTTTGATCAGCCTTTTAAAAGGACATATATATTTTTTTTTAATTTTTCTTTGAGAAATTTATTTTATATTTGCATTTTTTTGTAATCATATTTATGTAATCATTATAAATAATATAAATAATTAATAGGATTAATATAAAATAGTAAACATGAGTAATTAAAATAATTATAATTAGACCAAACCATTATTAATTGGTCATGATCATGTTTCAAAATACTCAATTGTATCTCAATGGGTACCTGAACATCCAATCATAATCTAAAGTGTGTTTTATATTTTATTTAGTTAATTTTATATTTTATAAATATTTTATTTTTTTATTGACATAACTTGTAAAATTTTACACATAAAATATCAATAATAACTTATTTCATCATAATATTAAATATTAATATTAGCTAACTATCAATAATTATTTGATCAAATATAAACATATATAAGTAATTTTACTTGGAACTTTAGAATCAGTTTTTACTTGCTTTGAATTGTAATGGTAAAATCTTGATGAATCAACCTTATTTATATGATTAGAATTAATATTCTGAAAATTTTGCAGCCTATATTTTTAATTTTAAGTTGCGACGAATAATTTTAAGTTAAAATATAGGCATCATAATAAAGTACATATAAGCTTTATATATTTTAATGTAAATCTATTTATATAAAGGAGACTTTGTCTCCCTCTAGCTCATCCACGTCAGATATTACTTTCTTCTGGTTGTGACATCTGTCCAAAATTTCGTAACTCTGTGTTTCAATATTTTTAGCGACCACTTGACTCGAACTTCAGACAGCAAACTTTTGGGCCTTCTGATGTGTTTAATTGTCCAGCCCGCTAACACACAAAAGCGCTCATCTCAACCCGCAGATATAGGGAATTATGGTTTCTCCCACTCTTTTTCTTCAGCCGTCTTCGATTCTTTTTAGGTAAATCCGGCTTGACGTTTCAGTTCGCCTGGGGTATCATACCGTCCTCTCGCTTTATTTCCATTCATTAATCATGTTCTTAACTCTCTTGCACACAATCTCTGCATCGATATGACGTTAGCTACTCTAAGGCTGTGTGTGTAGGGGTATAAAAAGGTGTGCTTCGCTTCTCTGAAAACCATCTTCCTATCTTTCTTTGCATACATTTTCTCTCTCAAATGACTAACTCCAATGTTTTTTTTTCCTATTTAAAGTCCAGGAGGTCATCCTCCACTGTTGAGGTTAGATTGATTCGTTTCTGGGATGGAGAACTCATGTGGGTTGATATGTTATTGTAAATAATCTGTTATTGAAACTTTTTTAATCGTATAGGTAAATAATTCCGGAAAGCTGGTCTCTCTTTCTTCATACTTAGATCAATCTAACTTTGTCTCGGAGCACTTTTATGAAGCCACCATTAGCGCTAACCACGATGATTATTGAATGCTTCTTATCCTCTTTTCAAGCGGTGGATCTTCACCTATACACCTTTCGAAAATCATGCTCCTGATTCCTAATATCAGCAGAGGTCTACTATGAGCTGTGAGCGCTGTGTCAGTTGAGAATGAAGTCCAAACGTCGTCTTTAACGCCAGCATCAAAAACAGCTTCCTACTCCTCGATCTCTCATTCAAATGCCTCTCCCATTCCTTAAATAGAGTGAATCTGCGAATACAAATAAGTAAGTTTCATCCCCTGCAAATCAAAAATTTAATCTTTTATTCTAATAACTAGGTTCACGGTGAAGACCAAATTTTTGTTGAGATCGCAGAGAGCATTAACGTTGAATCTCTCTTTGTAGTTATGGTCAACTCTGAGGAAAAGACAAAGAAGAGCAAGGTGACTCCTTTCTTGGCATGTTCGTTGAATCTTTGTCACTTCTTAAGATTCCGCACACACTCACACATCAGGTCTATCATATTTAAGTATTCCATCATTTGGTCTATTAATTTTTTTACATAATTAGATGGTTTTCACAATCAAATCTTCATAATTTATTATGTTCTTCTGGATAATTTTTCTCTTGACTCTTGAGTGAGGAAATGAATTAGATATATTCTCCTCAGATTTATGTTTGTATAGATAACAAATTGAACTCATGCGTAAAGTTACAATATTGGAGTTTCATCAAGTAACTCAGCAAAGTACCTTCTCATTAGTTTCTTGCCTAAAGAGACCCATCCAGCAATGCTAGATGCCTGGATGTTTTATATTAATATAGTTCAAAACTGAACTATTTAACATATAAAATACCCAAATATGTTAATTTCTAAATTTGTATTGAAAAAGTACAGAAACCTTGATATTTTAATTTTGAAATTTGCATTGAAAGAATCATTAGAAATTTTATATTTATCATATGAGTATGACCTCTTAATAATCAATATTTATACTAAAATATACTATATATTAAATTTATTTATACACTAAATGAAATAAATAAAATGATTGATTTGATTTATTTACCAAAAGGTATCGTAAATATACAACATGTATTATTTTTATCTATGTGCTTACTCTAATTTAATTATATACATAATACGTAAATGAAAACAAATAATATATAAAAATAATTTTTATATATGACGTTCATTCCATGCAATTGTGCAGGTTTTAAATATTAAAAATTCTATATTTCCTCTATTCATATTCACTAACATTATTAGTATTTTTGTTTAAACAGTTTTATTAATATACGGAAGTACAAATAGAGATATATAATTTAATACAACACAAGGAGATATAATTTATTTCATAAACTGAAATATGCGTCATATTATATTATAAAAATTGTCAAAATGATCCAAAAATTGATTTTAATGCAAAGGTATACCTCAATTCAACCAAATAAAATAATAACCTAAAATGCTAGTGAATTACAACCAACCCATTATTACTAAACAAAAAAAAACATATGTGCACTTTAATGAATATAACCTCGTGAAATCTTCAATTGTGACGTCTTCTGTGAGAAGACGTCACAACTGAAGACTTCTCTGAAAAGACTTTTAATGTAGTAAATCTTAAAAATAATTTAAAAATTTGATTAAGAGTATTTTTATAGGAAGGGGGGGGGGAACTGAAATCATGTAATTATAAATATTTATAAGTGATGTAAATTTTAATTTACTAAAATTGAATTGTTTTCAACATAAATGACTGAATAGAGGTTGTATGTCATGAATGTCTTTTTTGTTTAGGGTCTGGTAACATATGTTGTTGTATTATTTTTCTTTTAGTGGTAGATTTTAGGATCATATTTTTTTATAATAAAATTTAATTAGACATATATGTGTTTGGTTCTGTATATATTAAACACTTTATTTTTTTTATTTTTTTTTGTCATTAACTTAAAAAAAACAGACTCATACTGACTATGTGAACCATATTGGTAACTCTACATTCATGTGAACGACAAAAGACGATCCACCCTCAAATTATGAGTTTGTTGTACATGAATGATCTCTGAGCTGAGAAAACTATCTTGCAGAGTCTTGATATCTTTCAAATAAGTTGCAAAATTGGGCAATTCTTCTGATTCTGAAGCTATATTCACCAATTTAGAACAACCTGTTGCATTTTATAAATTGATCATATGTTTAATGAAGTGTTTGTCACTATTTAGTTATTTATTTGCTTTTAGGGACTTTTACGAAAGTCATCTAACACATAATGAATTAGAAGACTTATTGGAAATTTTCTCAATTGAATAGTAAATTATGGGTTTAGAAGATTTTCATGGAAGTCTTCTGACCCAAAAATATTTAACCTAATTAGAATTTTTTTTCATTTTTTTAAGAAAATTAAACATTCTTTCTCTATTTCCCAAATAGTTGCAACGAAAGTGTAATGTTTCTCACAATAAATCTCTCTAACCTCAAACTTGAAAACAGCAAACTTTATATATATCAATTTCTCATTTATTTGTCTCATATCTTCTCACTAATATATCTTGTTTTTGCAGGTTTTATTACATGGTACTCATCTTTCACTCCTTTAAAAGGTAGATCTATAAAATTTTGATATGTTTTTGTGTGTTTTATATGTTAGATAATAAATAGTTATAGATTTAACCTAATGTTGGTGTTTTATTTATTATTTAAGCATAAAAGATCTTTTTGAAACTTTCTCTGCTTTGAAGCCATTTGAATGTTTTGGATATGCATGTTTTTCAGATCTGAGTTAGGGATGATTTTCAGAGCTCTCACCACCAAACTTAGCATCTAGGAAACTTTCCGTTTTTTTTTTATCGAGCTGAGTTTCAACTAGGGTTTTAGTCTTACATTGCTAAAACTAGGAATCTCGGCGACAGCTCACGTAGCTAAGGCTTACTCTTGTTGTATCGTTCTTACGAAAATTCGGCTTACTCCTTCTTGCTCTCAATATCGTTTTTTTATAATTTTACTTTATTCTCATCGTATTCTTGACTGCTTGTGTGCGGTTCCGTAGATAGCCGGGTCCTCTGGGAAATTAGGGTTTTCCCTAAGTTCCTAAATTTATGTAAAATTTACAGGGGTGAATTTCGGTTCCCGCATATTGGCGCTAGAAGGAGGGGGGGGGGTCGGATTTATCTTACACTCAAGCCGCATCACGCTCGATCAAGTACAATGTCTGGTGAACAACCAACTCGCCTCGATAGCAAAAACGTTGACACAACACAATCACCAGATGTGTCCACGGTTAACGCAAACGCTAACACCGAGACCATCGAAATGATGCTCTATGACTTCAACAAGAAGTCGGAAGAGCAAGAAAAGCTCATTGGTTCACTCGCAAAACATGTCGAAACCTTAACTGCGTAAACCAAGGCAATTCGCCCCCGCGGAAATACTAGGATCC